TTTTTGCCTAAGGCAGTGACCTGATATATTATTACCTTTGAAATTCACTTAGCTATTAGAATTGATCATTATTTTATATTTTGTTCTTATAATAGTAATAGTTTTAAAAGATTAGAGTTCTTTTGTTGCATTTTAGCAGCGGCCTCCTGCCATTTCCAATTCTATCAAAACAGCAATTTATCATTGACAAGAAGCTGAGCCACGCCAATAGAAAGGCAAAGGAATGACTACTAAACTAACATGTTTGTTGTCTCTGTGTTTAATATAAATAACTAGAGACATCAAGGGTGAAATTCTTCTTTCCAAATGAAATAATGAGTCTTGATCTGCTCTTCATATAAAACAGGAATTCTTTATACATGTGCAATGCACTGATGATGAGATCCACAATTAGGATCTTAATATAGAAAGTTTTGCAGCAAGTGTGAAATTCAGCTCTTCTATCTAAGTGACTTTAGGCTTGATTCAAACTCCCATTGACTTCAAGGGACTAAGTGGCAATGGATGGAACAAGATTCCACACCTAACACACAATCAGGGGCTATCATTAAGCCCTCCCCAGCTAGAAAAATGTTCCCTATTCCTCTGTTGAGGACTCACTCTGTGCTTAGACTAGTGCCACCTCCCCAGCACACCTCTATTGTCCTTTTCATGTTGGCTTATTCAAAGTTGGCATGGTGCTCATTTCTACGGTGAGCAGAAATACTCTGCTTCCTTCACATCACCTCCAAATACAAAAATACATGGGGTAAGGGAAGAGGGGTTTCGCTGGCATGGAGGGCCTTGTGCCAGTCTTCTGCAAGGGAGTGGATTCCAGCTTAATATTGGAATTTCAATTTAGAAAAATACGTTAACATTTGAAAGAAGGCACAATGCATGCATGAAGGTTGCAGTAGCTATCACAATGGACTGAAAAGTGGTGGCCACAAATTCTCATCAATGCTCACTTGCAGCACACACTTTTGTATAATGGGCTGGACAAAGATCATCAAAATCTTCTTGTATCTAGTCCCCCCAAATTAAATGTTAGTCTTTTAGGGTATGTCTACACTGCCACCCTAGTTTAAACTAGGGTCGCAGTGTAGACATATCCTTATAGAGTAAGGGTTAAATCCTGCTCTGTACAACTAGCCAGCTGGGCTGGAGCCCTCGTTGACAAGGGCACCAGAGTTCTATAGCCACAAAAAAGCTTCTTACTGAAGAGTGGTGAGGCCACAGCTGCAACTATAGGCACATATCTGAGGAATGAGTATTCTCATCCTCTGCATTTTGCAACGTGGTACTCCAAACAAACATAATGGTCATGAATATCTCTCCCATGAGACCTACTCTCCTTTCTGCTCTGTTTCATCCTTTCTCTTCTCACTTCCAAAAGTACACCATCACTGGACACCTACCAGACCACCCCTCTCATGATCTCTGGAGGAGGACCTGCTTGTCTTACTCTAATTCCTGTGTCTCCCAACTAGCGTCCTAGTGCAGAGCTGCTCTAGATTCCATGTCAGTTTCTCTTCCTCACTCTCCATTCTGTCACCTGCTCTCAGCTATTGCTTGATCTGAGTGTTGGGGCTGAACCCAGCAGCTGAGTGAAAAAAAACCTATGAGAAAGACAGGCCAGAAATGGGAGGATGGTTCTCAACATGGAATAACTGGGGCCATTTCATTGGCCAGATACTCTCCCTCTTTCCTACCATGTTAAACCCTAGCATCCTTTCACAAATCCTGAAAAATAGACAGTTCTATGGCATCATCCTGGAGCCCTTTCTTCAGTGTGCACAAGTTTAATGGACATTTAGGGAATTTTTACAGGATGAAATTAAACAATTGTAGATGGTGTATATCAGGGAGACTCCCAAACTGAATTATAAATTATTTTAAAAGAAAATAAGTAATTTTGTGCTATTAAAGCACCACTTTCCCTAAGTAATTAGCATCTCTTTTAATTTGCATTCCGATAACCCTGAAAAAACAACCCATGCATTTTAACAACAAAACCATTAAAGGAAAACTGCCTTGGCTGAAATCTCATACGTCAACAATTTAGTCTAAACCCTGCACTACATAAACTTCTGAAAATGGGAAGTGCTGACATAGTGCTAACTGCCATGCTGTTCATGTGGCACAAACAGTTTTACCTTCATTACAAGTTTACAGCTGTTTTAAAAAAAACCTGTACTATCAGCCAGATCTTACTCTATCAGGACAGCGTATTGTCACTACAACCTACATGCATATAAAGCAACCTGTTGGCAGAGAAGACTCTCCTGTAGTAGCATTAATTTAGCTGGAAGGGGAGGAGAAGAAAGCCAGATCAGTGATGTGGATTTATGTGCATGAGCTCCCCTCCTTTCAGCAAGCTCCATAACACCTTTTTGCACTGCTTTTTGTTTTCTTCTAACCTCCTGTGGACTGACTTTTTCCCTAACAGATGGACTGCTGGGGAGCCAGTATCCATGCTTTCTAGGGCTTGAGAGGCCACAGATATACTCCTTCTGGAGAGAGCCAATCTGCTATGTCAACTATGCCAATTGCAGAATGGGTGGCAGGGTATGGCTCACTTGATGATTACCTGCTCTATTCATTCTCTCTGAGGCACCTGATATTGGCCACTGTCAGCAGACAGGATACTGGGCTAGATGGACCTTTGGTCTGACCCAGTATAGCCATTCCTATGTTTAACATTTTACATGAAAGAGAGGGATGGGGCCTGACTTTATGCAACCAACAATTCAGCTTTTCCACATAGATTCAGCTGATTTCTTTGCTCTACTCTGAATGGCCTAATAATCTACTACTAGACTAGTAGACACTTTCCTTTGAGTGATATTGAGTACCAAGTTCCAAAGATGGACTCTTCTTGTGTAAGGACTGAAACCCTCATACAGGCAAGACTCCTTTAATAGCCAAACTTAGAACCCCCAATCACATTATAGATACTCATCAGGAGCATTCCCCATGAATGCCTGATATGCCCATTACCAACCATGACTATCCATTTAGTTGGAATTCTGGTAAATTACATTGAGCTGTCAGGAAAAAACAAACCCTGAGTGTTTTCCTTTTCCCTCCCTTCTCTGTGTATGGGCATGGAAAACTTTCAAGCTATCAGTGACAAGTGTGTGAACCCCTTCCACTTCTAATGGCTTTATACTCTACCTGTAAAGGTAGACAGCAATCAGTTGTAATGCTTTCATATTTTGAACTGCCCTACTGCAACAGCCATTCCAAAAATCCCAATTACATTTATGAAGGCCCTAATAAAAACAGGACACGCATATTTAAACCATGTGCTAGATTCAGCTAAACGTCTATTGCAACAAAAGCATGAAAGTCAGGAAGTGTTGAATGAAGTTGACCTTCACTCTCTCCCTATGTTTCTATACATTATGATGAAATTTAAACACAGTATGATTTGTGGAGAAGTCATGTAATGAAAGATATTAGTAAAGTGATATGCACAAAGAGAAAGGGTTAAGGTTGCCATGGCAATTGTCTATCTAAATTCTCCAAATTCTGTGCAACTAAAATTTCAAATTTTATGTTCCATTAATGTTGGGCTTATGGGGTTTTTTTGCATTTAATAATGAACAGAAACTATTATGCTGGTACTAATGTATTTTAATTGTATGTTTTGGAGAATCAAATAGCACATTATTACTCTTATTGTCACCTAATCTGCTCCAGACAAACAACTTTATATAAATACCCAAA